TTAGACAAGATGCTTGATGAAGGGAACACTACCTAGGATTCATCTCTTCAAGACTAATGTATTCCTACTAAACACAGAATACCCTTCATTTAGTATCTACATACAAAAGTGTTACAAAACTGTCCTTGATTTTACAATAATAAATGAAAAATGTTAAAATTCTCCAAACAAGGTATGCCAGAATTTTCATGATGTTGTTTTTCTTAAGCAGTGAAAGCAAAATAATTAACTGAAATATAAAGAGCTGAATGAGCATGAGCATGGAGAATGAGCATATTTTCACAGAATCATGATTTTTCTCCATCTCATCTAGATTTGATATCAATCAAAATATAACACTGGACATTTAGTATTAAAAAAGCACAACATGCTTGTGCAGATGTGCCACTTATTTAATGTACAGTAAAGGAATGGGAAAGGGGGAAATGAAAAAAACAGAACTATCACGTTGTAGTCAGGATGTGGTAGAACCAATTGTGTTTTCATTTTTTTTAAACAGAGAATGCGTCTTGGTCTATAGTAAGGGTTCTGGAATAAAGTAGCAGGTTCCTTCTTTAGTAGACACCTGTCTGCTGCTAGAACACATCAATTTTACCTTTGTCTTCTATTTCTGATTGTGTGGGTATGTCAGTTTCACTGACTGGCCGCCTTTCAAACAGGAATCTGATCTGCCTCATAGAGAAACTGTCTTTCATGGTAGGCTTTCCTGAGTTTGCTTAATGTTGTATGCCTCTTAAGCTTCCACTGCACTATACAGAACCTTCCTGGCCCACCACCTTCAAATTAATATGATTATTTTTCTCAGTCTTGATTCCTTCCTTGGGCTTTTCATCCACCATGGAGAACTTCGGAGTCTCCTCAGCTGCCAATTCACAAAGGAGGTACCATCCACACCGAATGAGCACGCAAGCAAGCATCAGTAGTGGCAGAAGACGCACATCATTTCTCTGAATGGCTGAATATTATCTCACTGTATGGAAAACACATTATTCATTCATTCATTCATTCATTCATCAGTTCATTGGACATTTGGGTTGTTTCCACTTTTTGGCTATTATGAGTAATGTTACTATGAACATTTGTAGAGATACTTTTCATGAACATATTTTCAATTCTCCTGGAAATATATAGGGAGTCACATGCTAGTTTATATTGTAAATCTTTTGAAGAATTGCCAGACTGTTTTTCAAAGGGGCTGCATCATTTTGCTTTTCTACTATCAATGTATGAGGGTTTCAATTTTTCCAGATCCTTATCAATACTTGTTATTATGTATACTTTTGATTTTAGCCATCCTAGTATGTGTGCGGTAGTATCTCATTGTGGTTTTGATTTGCAATTCCCTGATGGTTAATTATACTGAGCATCTTCTAAGGATTATTGGTCATTTGTATATCTTCTTTGGAAAAATGTCTATTCAAATTCTTTGCCCATTTTAAAATGTTTTATTTTCAATTACTAACTTTTAAGTATTCTTTATACATATTCTAGATAGAAGTTCCTTATCAGACACAGGCATAGCAAAAGTTTTTTCCCATTCTTTGGGTCATCTTTTCACTTTCTTGATAGTATTCTTAAAGGCATGAATTTTTAAGTGTGATTATGCCTATTTATCTATTTTTTTCTTTTGTGGCTTATATATTTGGTATTACATCCAGGAAACAATTATTAATCCAAGGTCATGAAGATTTACATTTGTATTTTCTTCTAAGAGTTTTCCATGTAAGTTTTATCCATTTTCAGTAATTTTTGTATATGCTATGAGGCAGTAGTATACAAGCAATTTTTACTAATATTTTTCATCTTAATAATGTAAAACCTTTAAACAGATTAAGATTCCAAAAGTCCTCCTTAGCTCTTGAAAGATATGTTAATTGTTCACTATTCTATCTACTCTTCTATGAGAAAAGTATTTATCAGTTCCTTTTTCACTTTGTGACAGCTCAGTAATTTTTGAACTTTTATACTTTACTCCTTGCTTCTCTTAGTCCTACTACAATATCAAGAAAATTAATATTTTTTCTGAGAAAAAACTTTTGTCGTTATAAATTAAGTACTGTGGTACAACCGTAAAGTAATAAACAGGTGTCCGTAAAACTAATTTTATCTCTTCTTTATCTTTTCCATACATGCTACTTCAAATTATCAGAATGTTTTCATTCTTGTTTGAAGTGTCACATTTGTGTTTCTTAAGATTGACTTTTCTAAATTATTTTTCGTCTGTGGGTGGGGAAAAATAAAACTTGGAGTAAATTAATTCAGTTTCTACTTTACCTACCTCTCTATTTCTCAGTCTTCCCAGCAAACTACCAAAACAATTCCCCACTTTTTTTTTTTATTTTTAGCTTGGGTTCTAATTTCAATTCTGCCAACCTCCCAACTCTGGCTATTTCACAGTAATATTTCAATCCCTAAGCCATGAAACTCTGCAAGGGTTGTTTTCAATTGCTCACTAAGATATCTTCTACCTCAGGGGGAAAAAAAAAAATCACTTGAATTCTCTAACACTATGGAGCCATGTGACATACAACTACCAGAGGATTTGTATTTCTCATTCCTATACTTCCTCCATCCAATCTTATCCTTAGATTTTCACTGATTAGTATTCTCAAGCTTGCCTGTCTTAGCTTATGTAGCTCCTCCTTCTGTACTGGGATAAACACTTGTATAATACCATTTAAAGGACGTCATTACTCTTTATCTTTGAAGAGAAAAACAAGAAGAAATCACTTGATTCAAATACTCCCAAGATTCCTAAAGGATCAGAGATCATTTCTCATTGCTCTACAAGAACTTAGATCAGACAGCATCTAGACAAAAGGTAAGATATAACTATTCTTTCCAAGAGTTTGCTTATATTTTACAAACCTAACCTTCCAAGTAATAGATATGCTTTGGCTAGAGTTTCACAATCAAATCATTTATAATTAAGAAGTTTCTTTGGTTTGAGTTCAGTAAAAAAACAAAAACAAAACAAAACAAAAAAAATAGTGTAGTTTTTTTTTTTTGAAAGACAACTTTGCAACTGTGTTTTTTATTTAATGAGAATTCCAAAATAATTCCCTACTTCCTTTCCAGGAACTGGAGCCATTATATTGACATTTAAATACTATGTGTGTGCATATAGATAAAGATTACATATTTGCATGTATGTGTGCAGATTTACTGAGCCATGTTTCTGTTTGAATAATATATGCTTATACATTGTTACAAGAATATTTTTATTTCGTGGATTTTTTAGAGCCGAATCATTTCCTTTTATCAAAAAGGACAACTAAAACCTCAGAACAAGGCAAAAAGCATTTCCCTTTAAATATTTGAACTCATTCTAAAAATAATCTATTCAAGAATTATTTCTACTCCACCCAATTGTCTAAGAAACAAAGGTAACTTAGATTATTAATGCTTTAATTTCTACTCAGAAGACTGTCATAACCTTAATGCAACTTTGTTATTGCATAGGAGATGATTATTGTGTAGACTTGGATTTGATTTCATTAATTTAGGATTTTTTAGGTTTGATCTATGAGATTCTGATACTACTTTTACTTTCAAAGCTTTAGTAACCTTAATATTTAGTATCTTTCACAATTAAACTTATTTACCAGTAATAATAAAAGAAACAAACTTTTCATTTCATGAAGTTCATCTCAAACACCTAAGAGTTAATCATCATTTCACTGCCTATCTTTAGAAATACCCCTAAAGAATCATATTGCTATCAAATAATTCAATAAATACATACCAAATAATTATGTGGTGTGGTAACAGCATTAATGATATGGCAGTAATCATTTTGTACTATATAAGCATATCAAATCAACATGTACATCTTAAACTTACAGAGTATGTCAATTACATCTAAGTAAAGTGGGGAAAAAGCAAACAAATAAACAAAATAAGAATGTACCATAATAAATGCCCAGATATTCTCCAAATCTAAAATGCCAAATATTGTATCAGGACATGGAAATTAAGATTCCAGATATATGATTTCTTTATATACGTGCCTAATTTCCTCTATCAAAACTTGTTTAAAAAAACTTGTTAAAAAAAAACTTGCTTATAGCTGTCACTGTCTTCTTCTCTTTCAGAAATATGATCTATGAGGTAGAAATAAGTATGGTAATTTAGAAGTGTCTAAGGCAGTGTGGTCCAATAGAATGTTCTGCATCTGTGCTATCCAATTCGATAGCCATTAGCCACACATGCCTACTGAACATCTGGAATGTGATATGGAAACAGAGCAAGTGATTTGCGAATTTTACCTACTCTTAATTAATATTAATTTACATAGTGGTGTGTGGCTAGTGGCCACTGTATTAAACAGTACATGTTTAAGTTATTCAAATTATTGAATATTTTCATTTACAAATACTTTTGAAATGGAGAAAAGTGATTTCTTAAATAGAATAGTGGTTTCTATAAATACAGAGATTAGTAGACCAGAATTTTATAGGAATGCCTGTTGTCCTAATATGAATATTTTTTCTACCATTGTAAAAAATATAATAAAGTCCTGTTTTTCACATGGCACGACATGTCATCTCTTAAGTGTATACAACCAAAGAAAAACAACACTGGTACAGCCTGCCGTAAAAAGACAATTGAGCGATCATTAGGTATATATACAAATTAAAACAAAGAAATAAAGTGTGGAAAGAGAAAGAACACCTTAGGAATTTCATGGTTAGATTTTTCTTCAAATTCATGGTCAGGGAAAATTCTATGGAGAGAATGAAACTTCAAGTATAAAAGTGTGAGAAACAGAAATGATTCAGAGAAAAGATATTCTAGGTATAATGTGAAGCCTGATACACCAAAGTAGATGTATGTTTAGCTGACAAATGTCATTTTTCTGAGAAGACAGTGGATTTACCTGAGCAGTACAAAAAAGAGGAAATAAAATAGCTGAGGACTTAAGAAAGGAATGAATTTTCATTCTATTTTTATGTCTAATATTTTAAATATATATCTGAAAATCAAAAGGACTTTTAAACCTGGTTGTTTTGAAGTCTCTCAGAGCTGTAGAGATGTATTCAGATAAATGCTTTTCCATGAGTGCTACTCTGATCCAGGCTCTACCCTAAAAGGAAGAAGAAACAAATGTGAAAAAAAATTACAAGTTAAAAAAAATACGCTGCCCATTGTGTCATCAAAAATATAAGCATTTTAATATGTAAAAAACAATTCAGTCAAAATATATGTTTGATAAAGCTAAAAGATACTTAAGTAGATAAGAACAGGTAAAAAGTTTGCTTACATATAGTATACATTTGTTTCTCTAGAGATATAGGGTACAGTGTATCATACTAAATTTCTATCCTCTAAAGGGACATAACTATTAATAATGAGTCAGGGACTTCTTTTCATAACTCTACCTCAATGCCCAAATCAACATGCTAATTAAAATTGAGTCCCCTTATAAAACGTGAACAGAGTCATTCTCTTCGAAAAAAATAAGCTGTCACACCACTTGCTTTAGAATATTTCCCACATACACTTTTAGAGGGAGGTTTTAGATAACTAATAATGAACCAAATTTCATTATTTATCATGCATCCAAATCATGAATTACTGAGTTTACACCTAGGACATTCTAAAAACTATTACTGAATCTTTAACCCAGAAACTCATATTCTAGCAGAATTCTAGCAGAAACTCACAGAAGCAGACAATTCTGACTAAATGTGAATAATTTAGTTTTACTTTTGAAAGGGGTAATATCATTCAATAGTTGAGACTAGTCAGTTGATTTTTTTTAAATAAATCATCTTTAGCAGAAACTCACAGAAGCAGACAATTCTGACTAAATGTGAATAATTTAGTTTTACTTTTGAAAGGGGTAATATCATTCAATAGTTGAGACTAGTCAGTTGATTTTTTTTTAAATAATCCAAAGCATTTCTCCTGGACTCTTTGTGTAGAATAAAAGAATATAAGAGGACATATTTGCAATAAGAATTTTTAAATTTTTTTTAATTTTTATTTATTTATGATAGTCAGAGAGAGAGAGAGAGAGAGAGAGAGAGAGAGAGGCAGAGACACAGGCAGAGGGAGAAGCAGGCTCCATGCACCGGGAGCCCAACGTGGGATTCGATCCCGGGTCTCCAGGATCGCGCCCTGGGCCAAAGGCAGGCGCCAAACTGCTGCGCCACCCAGGGATCCCAGCAATAAGAATTTTTAAAGGACATATTTGCAATGAGAATTTTTAAATTTGATTACTTTCATTTTCACTCAGCCCTCCTTCAAATCTCCAGAAAATCCATTAAGATTAATGAGATAGAAAGTCAAAACACTGCAATGGCAATTGAGAACAAAGGTGACACTAATCAATGCATATGATGGTTGACTACCCACATGGAAGAAAAAAGCATTCTTTAGAAATATCTACAACTCTACTGAATTCACCAAACTTCTGGACAGGAAGGATCAAGAAGCAATCTAGACAGTGGTAAAACCTGACCAACTAGAAGCAGCAGTATTTTTAGGAAATAAAGAATGATATGGGTGTGATTAGCACAGGCAATTTGCCCCTCAGCTCAAAACCTCCTTTAGCTTGCATGGTGCTCAGTCCACTGCTTCTGCAGAGTAAGCCTTGGGGAACTGAAAATTAACTGTGGCTCATGGGACAGATGAAGGAAGAGGTAAACCATTGGTCAGGGTCAGCAATCCCAAATTTCTCTCTTGAAATTTCCTTTGAAAGACATGGAGGCTGGTAATGGTGGCGTAAATCAAAAGGCTAAGATTTCACCAGAGCAGAAGCTGGGAGAGTTGCTCTCCAGAGAAAGTCAGACACAGGAGACTGTGCTATTGCTAGATAAGAAACGTGAGGAAAGTCCTGCTTCCTGATTTATTAATTTCAATCCATGCAAAACTGGGCTGCACCTAATTTCCTGTCCTTAGATGTTTGTGGAATTCTCTATTATATTGTGATAATACACTGTGCTAATTTTAACAGTTTCTTTTCCTTCAACAAAAGAATTTTTACTAGAATAGACGATAAACAGACTCATAAAGGTTGTGGGGCCATAAAATAGGGGTCAAAAAACCAGATTTAGGATTTTAGACTTTATCAGTTGAGTAATGACAAACCACATAGAGTTGTTTTTTTCTTTTTTTTTTTTCTCTAGAGACACAAATACTCATTTCTTTGTTACTGGAAGTTTTTGAAAAGTAAATAAATAAACAGCAGCCACCACTTCTTAAGACTGTAATTAATATATGCTAGGCTCTGTTTTAAGATACATTAAGAAATTCAGATACATTAAGATATCTAATCTTCCTCAGGGCACCTGGGAGGTCAGTCACTTAAGCTTCCGTCAGACTCTGGATTTTTGGCTCAGGTCAGGATCTCAGTGGAGCTCCACACTCATCAGGGATTCTGTCTAAGATTCTCCCTCTCCCTCTCCTTCTCCTCTCCGCCGGTTTGTGTTCTGTCTCTATAATAAATAAATCTTAAAAAAATATATATATATATTTAATTTTCCCAAGAATTGTATGAGTTAGGTTATAATACTATCCTCTCTTTTTTCTAAGAGGAAATAAAAAATAGACAAATTAAGAAGATAGGAAACATCTCAACACCAAACGAACCAACTTAATTGAATTAAAACCTATATACCCTATCTTCCCTCCAGTTTCAAGGGATAAGCTGTAATCGTTTAAGGAAATAAAAAGACAAATTACAGAGTTATCAAAGATATCTGCATTATATGCATCTGACAAAAGACTCATTTATAAAATACAAATAATTCTTACAAATCCATAATGACTCAATTAAAAATGGGGCCTGCAAGGGGAAGGCTTGAACTATAGATTCAATTTCTTTAGTGAACATCAGAATATTCACATGTTTTCTTCATTTTTATATTAGTCATAAATTTTTTCAAAGAATTTGTCCATTTCATTTAAAGTTTGTAATTTATATGTATGAATTTATTCATAATATCCTTGTAGGATTTTTAATGCCTGCGGGGTCTATGGGGTCTCTTCTTTATTCCTAATAGGCCTCTTCTTTATTCCTAATACTGGTAAATTTATAATCTCTCTTTTTCTCTTTATGAATAGTCTTGCTAGAAGTTTATCAATTGTATTAATCTTTTTAAAACCACCAAGTTTAGGTTGTTTTTTTTTAAGATTTTATTTATTTATTCATGAGAATACACAGAGAGGAGAGAGAGAGAGAGAGAGAGAGAGAGAGAGAGAGGCAGAGACACAGGCAGAGGAAGAAGCAGGCTCCATGCAGGGAGCCCGACGTGGGACTCGATCCTGGGACCCCAGGATCACCCCCTGGGCTGAAGGCAGGCGCTAAACTGCTCAGCCACCCAAGCTGCCCGCAAGTTTTAGTTTTATTGATTTTCTTCTAGTGTACATTTTTTTCATTTAATTCAATGTTTGCTCTTCATTCTTTCCTTCTTTTTGAATATATTACTTTTTAAAAACAGTTTCTTCAGGTGAAAACTCTGATCACAGATTTTTAGCCTTTAGTCTTTGTTTATATATACCTAAGAGCCTATTTAAGCCTTTTTTCCTCTAAGCACCAGTTTTTACATTTTTATTATCAATACTTTCCATATATTTTTCAATTGTAATTTCTTCTTTCAGTTGACTCACCTAAGCATTTTCTAGGTATCTTTTGTTATTAATTATAGCTTAATTCTACTGTTATTCCAGAATATACTTTAGATGATTTCAATCTGAAATGCACATGGAAATGAATTGTAACTCAGCCAAAGATAAATTTTTGTTTAAGTTCTATGTTTGGTATGAATGAATATTTTGTGGTTTTCTATTTACACTTTATTATATACTCCAGTTTTCTGCTACTACTAGTCTTTATATTTTCTATTACAATTACTTCGAAGTTCATTATCTGCATCTCCCATAGGTCTGTTTCAATTGTCTTTTTTATATTTCTTAGTTTTGGTCATTAGATCTTGTTTCCTGGTATACTGGTTTTTGATTGAATATTGGACATTGTATATAAAAGTTTGTAGCTGTACTAATGCTACTACTTTTCCTTAGATATATTTTCTTCAAGGAAGCAAGTAGTGTAGTTGAAAATCACTTTGCACTATTCAAGGACACCACTTTTAGGTCTTTTTTGGGCTGGTCTTCATCTGAATTTCCCTTATTCCCAAGGTAGAGCCTTTCTGGGGTCTCAAATAAAAGCCTAGAATATTTTACAGGGCCCCTCCAACTTATTTGACCTGGAACTCTAAACTTTGTTTCTCCAGAACAAGACTGTGAAATCCTAATCAGCTTTTCTAGCCTCCTACCTGCTGCTTTTGGCTAAGTTTATGAGACTTTTGCTCTGTGCTTAAGGTGGCTAATAACTGGCAAATAGCTCACAAGAAGACTGCATATATGACTTCAGACACATATGTCTACAGACCCTTGATATATTAAGTCCTGGTTTCACTGGCAGTTCCCAGCTCCCATTTCTGTTTCTCTAGCCCAGGGGAACTAAAAGAACCCTTAAGAATTCTCTGATTAGCCTCTATATGAACTATGTGAACAGATAAATGCCCTTAGGCCAAAAGCCAAGATGAACGTAATGCTCACCTCATATACCATTGTTCTATCCAGTATTGTGGCCACTCTAGTCCTCACAACTTGGTTGTTCTCTTAGGTCTTAAACTTGTTGCTTTGCGTACTTTATCCAGTCTTTATAGTTGTTCTTGGCAGAAGAGTTGCTCTGACATAAGCTATGCTGTCATCACTAGAAGCAGAAACTGATTCATTTCTCACCTCCAGGATCATATCTTTTTTTTTTTTTTTTACTCCAAACTCTTCTAACATGACTTTCCCTCCATATGCATTCTCCATAGTCTACTCAGTTCTAGTATTTGATAACTCCAGTGTATCTGTGATTAATATCCCCTCTGCCCCTGCCTCAGCCTCTTTCCATAGAAAATTTGGCTAACTTGCCTCTACGAAGAGCAGGGACAAGGTCAGCTTCTGAACAAAGGAAAAAGTAAAAAGTAAACAAGAGCATTAGTCTTAAAAAGACAAGGAGGGATTAGGGATTTCTGTCCTAAGAATGTGTTAAGGACTACATTCATAGTTCTGACATAGTATAGGTGCTCAATAAAAATTTATCTGATGGAAGGATGCATGAATATATGAATGGCTGATGTGACCAGCATATTCAGAAATTGGTCTAATATGTCAAACTCAGTAACAGAAGGAATGTACAGGGTAAGCAACCACAAACTAGGAAAGCCTAACTCACCCACAAACAAGTACTGTTCTTAAAAACAAAGAAAAAGAAAAACACATATGCGGGAAGGCAAGAAGAACTCAAGAACAGAACAGAGCTCATATTCTGGAGGGAAAAACCAACAATAAAAAAAGGAAGAAAAGGATTGCTTGAGCTTGAAATCAGTTGGAATACCAAGAAAATTCAAATGAAATATCTGTAAGGTAAATAACAGTAGTAACTAAGGATCCAATTAGGGGAGTTTCTGTCAGAAATCATATATTATACTTATAAGTAATCAGCCGAATAGCAGATGGGAAAAGTGGGTGTGTTCAGAAGGGAGTGAAATCATTGCCTGCTGAGATGAAGTTAGTTTTCTGAGTCCTAATTTAATCTGAAACTTAAAATAGAAATCCCCTGGGGCACCTGGGTGGTTCAGTCAGTTAACCATCTGCTTTCAGCTCAGGTCATGATCTCAGGGTCCTGGGAGTGGGCCCCACATAAAGCTCTGTACTCAGTGAGAAGTCTACTTCTCCTTATCCCTCTGCTCCTCCTCCTGCTCATACCCCTCCTCTCTCTTTCTCTAATAAACAAATAAAATAATAAAATAAAATAGAAATATCATATGCAGAAATCCCATTCCCAGAATCTCTGCATATTATAGCAAGGCTAGCTGCCAACATATCTGAGATGGAAAGATTACAGACATGATCTTCAATTCAAATATTCTATTCCATTGTTAGGCTTTGTTTAAGCCCTGGAGAAGAGGCTCAGCTGGTCATGGACTGAGCAAAGAAAGGGACTATCAGCATTTCACAGATCTCAGCTTAGAGTGACTAAGTATCAGCTCTCCCATGGTGGTAAGTTTCTACCATATGAATCTAAGATGTGCAGTAGTTCTAGGACACAGACAATCCTGATTCAATTAATGAAACTAAATTTAAATAATGTTTCTATATTGAATTAGTCATTGTTCTGTAAAGTATCTTGTCTTTCACTGCTTAAAATGTCATCCACACAGCCCTAAAGGTATAACCAAAGGTATTCTGCTTTTTACGTAGAATTCAAAAATGAAGATCTGTTTGGTTTCAAAGTGAACTGAGTTGCACAGTTTAGAAGGTAAATTTGGTGCTGTGGTTCTGGTATGTTTTCGTAAGTGTCAAGGCTGGTAGTCACTCTAGAAGGCATCTCAAAGGCTCAATAAACCAGCCATCTGAGGTATTTGCTTAATCCTTCAATCTTGACAGTTGGCAGGTGTGATTTACTGAGTAGATTAAGTACTTTGCTCTGCCCACTGCAATGAATAAAGACAGAAGTAATCTTTGCTTGCAGACTTCCCAGCATAACCAGGCAAATCATAGATCTCTCTTTTCCCACAAATGGATTTGTTTGAGGCCTGAGCAAAACAAAGATATAAATGTAGGATTTGGAACATGATTGTTCTTTGGTGTTTTGCTACTCAACAATGGTTTTGTACAGAATAAATATTAACTCTCTCTGCTGGGCAGCATCTTGCTACACAGGGCTTAGTCACAAGAGTCTTATTAAGAGAGGTGGTCAGCTGGGGTTTGTATTTCTGCACTCCACCCAGGTCCAAATGCTACATTTCTGATGTTTGTTAACTTCTCAATTACCTTTTGTATTTTGGTATAATCTAGTTCTATAAATATATTCTCTGCTATATTGAAGGGGCTTAGAATACACTTGTCATGTTAATTGTTCCTTCTTTTAATTTGAAAATAAATAAAGTTTATGTGCCACCTGGGATAGTTTCTATTTTTATAGACTTGATTCATTCAAATTATAGCCTGCCTTTTAATCTTAACCCACAGAAACCAAGATATTCTTAAACCACAAGGAAAACATGAAAAGAAAAATGATACAAACCCAGCAAAGATGCAAAGGGGAATTCAGATTGTACATTTTTAAGCCTGTAGTCTATCAATTAGAAAATAAATGCATAAAGTCAAAAGTTTGAGAAAACAGAGGTCAAAGGATATGAAGCCAATATTATGGCTAAGATGTTTTCTATAAGAAAAAATATTTTTAAAAATCTAGCTATGATTGACTTAAAGACGAAGGCATTATTTGGCTTGAAAAATGTGTGAGGCAGAGAGGAAAACTGATTCAGTCTAAAAAAGGGTAGGAGGTCCTGAATCAGAAAGTTAACTCTTGCTCATACAGCCCCCTGGTTGGACTGGGAGGAGGCAGTGAAGGAGGGAGCAGCAGTTTTAGAAAGTGAACTCTACACCTTTAGTCTTCACAAATCATAGCTATAAACTTTACCCAAAAATACACTTCCATATTACAAATTTAAAAATGTTTATGTTTCCAATTATTTCACTAAATTTAAATATTATAAATCTTATTTTTTATAAATTTATTTTTTATTGGTGTTCAATTTGCCAACATATAGAATAACACCCAGTGCTCATCCCAAGTGCCCCCCTCAATGCCCGTCACCCAGTCACCCCCACCCCTCGCCCACCTCCCCTTCCACCACCCCTAGTTCGTTTCCCAGAGTTAGGAGTCTCTCATGTTCTGTCTCCCTTTCTGGTATTTCCCACTCATTTTTTTTTCCTCCTTTCTATAAATCTTTTTTTTTTCCTTTCTATAAATCTTATTTAAAAAAATCTTATTCAGGTTTTGTTTACAAAATATTTAATCTCAATATATCACGGTCAATACCAATCATTTTCCAGAAGAAAAAACATCCTAAATAAAAATAGATGCAGGAACAATAAACTCAGAAACTATACATTTGAAAGATGATCGTTATATTTTCATTTATTATAGACATGTAATTTGTAAGTATGTAACTATGAAATAATGAAATGAATTATGTTGATCTTAAAAACTGTACCTATTTTCAATCTTTACTTTCTACTTAGGTTTCATTCTGTAATTCTTAAGTGCCAAAAATAGTAAGGAAACCTAGTATGACAATGCAATAATAAAATAAAACTCCTACACCAAAGCTGATACAGCTTATATGAGGTCAGACTTTTTATAGTCTTAAAAACTATTGATGACTTCAAAGTGCTTTTATATGGGTTATAGCTATTGATATTTACTGTATTACAAGTCAAAACTAGAAACTTCTAAAATATTAGGTGATTAAAAAAAATAAACATGTTAACATAAATAACATACTTTATGAAAAATAACTCTTTTCCTAAACAAAAATATTAATGACAGAAGTGGTTCTGTTTTACATTTTTTTCAAATTATTTTAATGTATGGCTTAATAACAGAACTAGATATCTGCTGCTGCATTTAATGTTATAATGTGTTGTTTTGGTTGAAGCATATGAAGGCTATCTAGCCTCACACAAATAGCTGCACAAGGGAATCTGTGATAGCCTTTTCAGATAATTGTGTATATTCTCCTTTCATTCTACATTAAAACTCAGTAACTGATATTTTCTTAAAGGCTAATTGCAACACAGAAAATATAACCATATCAATGAACTTTTTGTACTTCATTAAATCCATTAGTTTAAACAGATCTCTTACCCACGCAAGATTTTATGATTCCATGCATTGATCATTTGGTAATTATGAGTTTTGCAGGTTTACCAAATGCGAACACATTTCATTCAATAATTTAAAAATACATTTGCTAATATCAACATCACTATTATCAGAAAAGTCTTTAAGTACAGGGAAACTATTAGGCTTAAGATGGTGAATATAAGTTTTCTGAGATTCTAATTTTTAGGAAAGTTTTAATTTTACCATTGGCAACAAACCCTGTCACAGCTGTCTCCCTTCAATTAACAGGCTTACTTTGTTCATTTTTATTCAAGAAAACCCTAACAAATGCCTAAGTCTAAAAAAAATAGTTTTTTATGCTTTTTAGGTAAAAATAGTATTACGCAAGTGTCTAATTCAGCTCACAATTCAAACAACTGCATGAGCAGTTCTCCTTGAGACAACCATCATATTTCAGTATGCTGCAAATGCTTTATGCATACTTTCCATTTTATTACTCAGGATATTAAAAAAGATAGGCACACCAAGGCTGAGATTTAATAAACTAAATCTGCACCATCATGGACGTCTTGAAGAGGCACTGGTTTTTCTCCTCTCCTTTCCTTTCCTTTCCTTTTCTTTTCTTTTTTCTGTCTTTCTTTCTTTCTTTCTTTCTTTTTTTGACTTAGTACAATGGGAAAAATTCAGTGATTACTAGTAGTTTGATGCCATTGCCTTACTTCATGCTTAGGAACCAGCAATTTTGTCATCATTTTTTTCTGTATAAGTACTCCAAGTGTCAAGACAGTGCAGAAGGCAAATAACATCTTGTTACTACAGGAAAATACTTTTGACATTATGAACCCCCAGGATTCAATGGGACACTGAGAGCCACTGGTTTAGGGAACTTAAGAAATGTAGAAACTTCACAGAACAGGAAATATTTTACTGTGATTCTCAGAAAAGAATTCATAGGACTAGCTTCAAACCTTCTTGCTATTCCTAAGGCAACAAGGAAGATTCAAGAGCATTCTAAATAACTATATGCAGCTTAAAAAAACAGAAACAAGACTATAAAAGATATTAAACATGGTCAAGTGCTTAATTCCAGCAAAGAAAAAAAATAGTTTATATACCAAAGAGCTCAGAATTTTCTATTTGGGTCAAAACTGCTGAGGACTAGATTATAAACATTGTATATGATTATTTATGTCTTACCTTAGCTCTAGAGGAACTGACATTTTCCATATTTTCAATGCTGCAGATACAATTCTGTGAAACTTTCCGGCAAGCCACTCTGATATAGTCCCAGAAGCTACGAGGACTTTCATAACCAAACCAGGTTACTTGACCTTCAGGAGACAAATTGCAATACAAAATAAAAGAAAACTAGACTAGAAAATTCAAAATGCAAGAATAAAATTCTGAAAAGTAAAAGCCTAGTGTGCCATAGCAAAAGGGCACTGACCCGAATGGTGAAAATCTTTAAATCTAGTCCTTCTCTACCTTTACTTAGCTGTGCTATGGGTAATTTATTTAATGGATCTGGATCACAGTTTTCTCAACAACAAAATCAAACAAATGAAAGAAAAAGGGACCAGACACTAAAAGATATCTTGCAGTTTAATACTCCATTATTCTAAGAAAGTATTTTATTTAGATAGCTCCCAGAAAACCCTCCTTATGGTTCTAGTTAACCATTAATTCACATATCATTAGTTGCATTCTAAAGCTTTCTCTACTTAGAGAAACAGAAAAAATAACAACACAACCCCTTTGCTCTTCTTTATAAGGAAACTTCAAAGGAATGAAACAATGTGCGGTCTATCCTCTAAGTAAACATGATGAATTAGAATCCTACATTCACTGATCATTCATAATAAACCCAACCATTCTCATCTAGAAAGCCATAAAGTTCCCCTTTGTCCTTCATCTGCTCTCTTCTAGTTGGCAACCCATGAAAAGTCCTTCAGACATTTACTATTATAATTTTTCATATATGGGTAATTATGTGTCTATTCAAGAACAAATGTTCTTTTGCAAACAAACATTCTGACATCAGTATTAATATTTCTATGCAGGACTCTAAGTAGTGGGTCCACTGCACCGTTTTGTAGTCCGAGCATTTTTAATTAGGATATGAGAGACATCTTAATTCTTTCTGTAGTTTTCTGGAATGATTAGTCTCACCTAGGGAATTTGTTTAATCTTAAAGTAGAAAGATCTGCTTTTAAATTTTAAATCTGGACCTCCTTAATCACTTGTTTATCTCAAATCTTCCTGTCCCCAGTAATAGCATCTCTGTAGTAATAACAAAAGTATTCTAGTCAGAAAACACGATTTTAGGAGCAATGACTCAAATAACAGTTCAGTGACTTCCAACCACAGCATCCATAAAAATGAGCTGCTTTTTAAAAAATACCCATGCCTGGGCTCCACACCAAGGTAAATAACCAAAATCTTTAAGGGCAGGCCCAGGCACAGGTATTTTTTAAAGAGAGTCCACTGGTGTTTCTAATAATATATTTATGGTTAATTAACCAATAGAAATTATACATGATAGGTAACTTCTATTAATCATTCAGGACATTTATAAAGTCCTTTTCTTCTTGTAAGCCATGTATAATCTCTACAGTGGGTCAATCCCTCCCTATGTGCTGACATAGTACCCTATGTTTATCCTTATAAATGTTTACATGATTATCCTATATATTAGGTGGTAAAATCAGTAAGGCGGGGATTATGTCTTGTTTGTCTTTAAATCAATCTCCAGCATTTAATGCTTGGCTCATAGTAGGCACTCAGTAAATATTTGTTAAATAAATCAACTGTAAATCACACAAAACTTCAGCTTAACTGCAATGCACATAAAATTTGAATTTTAAAAATCTAAGTATCTTTCTATAGTGATATTCAATGACAATCTGGTATTAAGACATGTGCATTCTAGATTACAAATGTCAAACATCTGAACAAATATACCTTTGCCTATATAAATAAAAATACAAAATCATCCATGGAGTCCTTATTCAACTCAATGTCTCTATAATCTGTTTCTTTAAAAATCAAATCTTACTACCTACAAATAGAAATCTTTAGGAAAATTTGCAATCTCCTTCCTCTCAATCTCTCCCCATCACTTTCCTTTGCTCCCTCTGTTCTTTTAGTTAAAAAAGTCCTAGTTCACTACCTCAATATAATTTGTCTTTAACACAATTTTCATGTAATAAATTTGTTAGCCATTTGGAGAGGAGGCAAGATGCCTACTGGTTAGGAATATGAACTTTTGAGTCAAGGGAATCTGGATTAGATCACTTTCTAGCTATGGATCTTGAGCAAATGAGTTAATCTCACTCTATAAATCTCGGTTTCTTCTGTAAGTTGACAATAATGGTAGTACCTACATGATAACACTATTGAGAGTATTAGATGAGATAATCTCTGTACAACAATTAGTATATAGCCTACAGATGTTAACAATTATTACTACTGTTATTATTATTATCACACAGTTAAGGGACTAAGCTCCCCTGTACTGTAAAGGAAGTAGAAATTGGATGCAAAATTAAATTTTTCCCCTTACTTGCTCAGAATCTAGAAAAATCCTTAAAATTTACTCCCAGTCCAGCCTTTTCCCTTATCAACCATTTTAAATTTACCTCCCCAACATACTTCTTGTCTCAACTAATTTTCTTTGGCTTCTATTAATTAAGATAATTCCATAATTTAGAATGAGAGGTATAGCTCCCAGACTTCCACCAAGAAGGGACCTTAAAGGGAACATCACAAGGTTTCTCTCTTGACTTTATTTTTAAACCTTCTCATGAGTTTGACAGGGCTAACTAAGGAAAATAATTATGAGAAGGTTTAAAATAAAGCTTTGAAAAAAAACACAAAAGAATATAAAAAAGCTCCATTTTGGAGGAGAGGAAACAAAGATATGAAAAACCAAAATCTATGCTATGGTTAAACAGAGAAGGCATAGGCACTAAATCCTTGGAACTCCAGCTATGGGTAAGAGATGCTTTCTATAAGACTTTTACCCAAGAGACCATGGTAAGATTTCCCAGATTACAAACTGAGAAACTGAAAAATTAACACAATGACATGTCATCATGATACACAGGACCTTAAAAAAATAAACCTGTAGTTATCTTCATAACACTTTTATTAACCTAGCAAACTAGATGTGAGGATGACTTGGCTTGATTCTGACTTCCTCTTCCATAGTCACATCATTTCCAAAGTGAAGTGAATTCAAGACACTGAATTTTTCACATTCAAAATAATCTGCTTTAAGAGATGTACTCCCGTGTTAGAGCCTACCAACTCTCTTGTAAATTGTATATTCTACAATTTTATGTATTTATTAAAATAATTTCTGCATCTATGAAAAGGTTACATTTAATTTAAAATAATGGAAACATTCAATTGGTTACTTGAGATATTATTATTTGAAGATGACTTTTACTTAAACACAGATTAATAGCAAAAGATGTACTTAGGCTATTAGTCTGTAATCACTATTCAACAGAAAAATTAAGAAAACAAAGCTACAAGCAGATCATGTCTTTTAAAATAACTACTGAAGTAATAAACAATCACTCCCCAAATATTTTCATTTCCTTTAAAAATAACCATAAAAGTAAATCACACAAGTAAACAACTAATCCATATCGTGAAGAAATTTTATTCCAGAGAAGAAATACAACTGTCACTAATTCTTTTTGAAGTTCTTGATGTGTATAATATGCTTTCTGTTAAATGTTTTCTTAGAAGTTAACTTTTACCAATGATGAAGTTAAACAACTTTCCAAAACGTGCTGACATTCCATCAATCCAACTCTACTGCATTTTAAGGCAAAGAAAAAAGGGTGAAAAGCTTGCTAGACTAAAAGGTAATGTGCTACTAACCAGCTATGTTGTATCTTTCCAACTAAACTGCCTTATTTTCAAAACCTAAAAATGGCCTGTGACCTCTAGGGTCCAATATCATTCTAAAATTACTCTTCTAAAAAAAGTTTAAAAATACAATAAAATTACTCTTCTATATTTCTTAAGACATTTGTTACATCATGCAATACATTTGTGTTTTGTTTATTTCTTAGTTCACAACTAGAATGAGACCTTCTAAGAACAAGAACTAAATTTTCTAAAGTGGTTAGTTCTCTACTAAGTGGTGGCTGACATATCATCTTTTGATAATATAAAATATAAATGAATCTGTTAAGTGACTTCCTTTTTCTACCCTTTGAATTAGTGCTTACCTATCAATGTAAAGAATGAAATGAAAGCAAATGAAAAACTCATCCACAAGCTGAAGTCCTGTTAATGTTACATCACCTATATGATAATATCAAAGACTATTACCTTGGAATTGCTATTTAGCAAGACAAGTAATAAAAGAAAGGCCCATCAAATTTTAATTAACCACTCTGATATCACTGTAAAAGATTTCAGATACAGGAAAATGGTTATCTGTGGATTCGTATTAGTATTATTAGTATTTAGATGAATTCAACTTTTAACTCTTTACTTCAAATTTTCTAACAGCAATCCTGAATTTCTCACTGTTAATTTATAAAAGTCAGTTTAATATTTCTACTATATTTTTGCTAAACAGGGAAAATTCCCATTTCTGCAAGAGGGCAGTCTTTTCTTTTTTTAAAAGAAAGTACTATTTTTAGCTGAGGTTCATATTTATTAGACTATCCAGCTTTGAAAGTAATATAATGACCGTGATTAATTTTTTAAATAAAATTTCATATTAACATTCTAAAAAAAGAAATAAACACTTTAAAAATAACTTTAATTACATACTAAGCTGAATCTTAAGTATGAGTCTAGATTAGATACTCAGTTGTACTTACATAGCTAGCTCTGTATGTTACCTACAGGACATCTCAAGTAAATCATTTAACAACTATGAATTGCAGTTACTAATTTATAAAATATTATTCTTTGTTGTTGACAATTCCTTATTACAAATGTCTATAATGTGTATCTATACAATAAAAATGAGTCAATTCTTAATCTTCTAAAACAAAAAAATTAAGATAACCAGGTTCACCAAAAACCTGGAAACTGAATTTTTTTTTTTTGAAACTGAATTTGACTTAAGCTTTGTATCCCAGTAATTTTACCATCTTTCCAAGTAGAGGACAAAGATTTTGTCTTTTTCTTCTACCAGCTTTTTAACAAAAGGCTTAGAATACTGGCAGATTGAATTAGAATCCCAAAGACTGAAATCCATACAGAGAGCAACCCGTAAATGTGCAAACTTGAAGAAATCAAGCATAATTTGTTTCAGTAGTGATTAAGTCTATATGTAGCCACATAAAACAAAACTGTT